TTCTGGTGAAGATTCTTAGATGCATGTAGTACATCTGTGTAAAGCTTAATTGTGGATTTCTCTTCCTTTTGTTAAGGGATACAGCAATAAAATACTGTTTGTCTTCTAGAGTTGAACTTCTGGATTATCTTGACAGTATCGACTGCAGTTTAGAGGACTTCCAAGCTATGTTATCAGGACGACAGTTCAGCATAGATCCAGATCTCCTGGTCGATGTAATTTTCACTATCTATTTTAAGTATTTTGGTAATACACTACGGAAAATATTTGTGTGGGTTGTTACTGTTTGAAATGGAGACAAAACACAACAGTTTGGGGGGGGGGTTGCCTTTCTTCCCTTTAAAAAAGGGAAGTTGTAAATATTTGTGAGTATGTGCTTCTGGGGCACTGGTATAATTCTCAGTGCTACACCACTGCTCGAGTGAATGCTTAAGTTTTTGATTGAAGAATGGCTTTCTTAACGAAACAATGCTTGTATTTGTTCCTACGTGAACTCAGACACCAATTAGATTAATACTCTTGCTTTGAAATAGCCCAGCACATCATCTGTGGTCTTCTCAATGAACTGGGGTTAAAAAGGCTCTCGGCATTTATTTTACAAGTTTCTCTGCCATTTCAGGTTATTTCTTAGGAGCATGTATCTGTTCTCAATTTGTCTTCAGATTTATGTCGAGTAGAATGGTCTAGGTTGGAAGGGACCTGGGCGTGTCATCTAGTCCAGCCCCCTTGCTCAAAGCAGGACCAGACTGAAAGTTGGATCATGTTGCTCAAGACCTTGTTGACTCAAATTCTGAGATCTCCAAAGATGGGAGATTCCACAGCCTCTGGGCTGCCTGTTCCAGTGCTTGACTCTTCTTTGTGAAGAATTTCCTTATGTCAGTCACAATTTTCCCTGCTGCAGCTTGTAGCTCTTGTCCTTTGCCCGCCTCTGTGGAGTTTGTCTTCTCCATAACACCTCTTTAGAAGCAGTGGAAGAGTGCAGTTATCCTCCTCCCTTGTCTGCCCTCTCCAGACAGGGTGAGCCAAGTTCCCTCAGCCTCTGGTATGTCATAAGCCCCCAAACATCTGTGGCCCTCCGGACGCCCTCTAGTTTGAAAAGTCTTGTACTGGGAGGCCTAAAACTGGACACTCTTCCACAAGTGGCCTCAGGTGCTGTGCAGAGAGGAATAATTGCTTCCGGTGACCTCTGGGCTATGCTTTGCCTGTAGCAGAGCATGCTCCCCTGTAGCAAGGCCATCCTGCTGGCTCACGGTAGGGTGTTGTCTACCACGCCTCCCAGGTCCCCTCTCTGAGGGGACTCATACTTACTAGTACAGATTTCCCACAATGCTGAGTTTTCACTAACTGCTCCCTGCCCGTTTGTTCCCTAACCCGGGCCAGTGCACGAGGTTATTGCGTCCTGGATGCGTTTGGCTGTTGAGCCTGACAGAGTGCCTGTTGGCCCCGCTGCCGCTTTGCTGAGATCCCTCGTAACAGCCGCTCTGCTCTCCCACGTATTGGTGACTCCTTCCAGTTTGGTGTCACTTGCAGACCTGATCAGGGTGTGTTCTTCCTTACTGTACACAGAATTCTCCACGCAGCAACACAAGAAGGAATCAGTATTTTACAACTGCAGCAAGCCGTGTTAGTCTAAGTTAGACGTAATATAGTTGTTTCCTTTGTGGCTGAGGTTCATGGAATTCCAAACCGTTATGCTCCAAAGCCAGGTTTTCTTTGCAAAAGTTGGTAACTACCTGTAAATAAACGCTAATCCTGATAGAGGGTGAAAACATGAAGTATAGGGAATAGTCTCACACATGCAGACGTGATGTTCTTGTATTCTTACTAGCAACATCGAGATAACCTAAAACTTGATGTGTTTTGTCTTATTCAGCTTTTTACAAGCTCCGTGCAGATGAATCCCACAGATCATATCACTAATACCAAAGTAAGTCTTAAATCCATTGCTCAATGTACACAGTAGTGAGAGATGCAAACTTTTATTCATCCTTTACTGTTTTCTTTACTGGTATAATAGCACTTTTTTCATGCTTTGGCTTTGAAGAATTCCATGAGAATAGGAAGGCTGCAGCCGAATTCATCCTGTTTGTTAGGTTTTATACGGAAAAGGGAAGAGCACGCTAATTAATAATGTCCTTTAAAATTCGTATTACCTTGAGGCCCATACCTGTACATTGTACCGGTCTCCTGACTTTTGTATCCTCTAAGATTTTAGTACTTGCAGACGTGGTACACGCTTTGTCAGAATGGTTTCATCTGTATCGTCTGGTGGGAAAAGCAGCACAGTAAGAAGCGGTAGAGCAAAGATCTACCTCTTTGAATTTGTCCTCTTCGTTTACGAGCATTAGTTTTGGTTCTTGCTTGAGTAAGCCTGTGTTTCCATTTCACGTTTTCTCAGCCAAGGTCTGTTAGCATGGGTAACCGATAGCACTGCATCCCTTCGCAGATAAAAATTAGATTATTTTTTTTTAATAGTTGGTCAGCTGTGTTCTAGCGGCATTGGAAAAGACTTTAAGTGTGTGTTTTAAGACTTTGCTTTCGTTTCCAGACGGAGACAAAGGGAATAGAAACTACCAAGAACAACGCTGGTCCAGCGGCTGCACAGGAAACACAAGTTTCTAAGCCCAAATCAGGTTAGTTGTAGTGTTTTGGTGAAACAGTTTAACAGTTCAGCAAGCATCGTTCTAAAAACCGTCTCAGTTACTTGCTCTTTGTCTGGTTTTGTGTCATGCTGGTAAGCCAATAACCAAAGCAAAATACTTGCTATATTTGCTTTTTAGGTTTTTGGCACTGCACCAGGTGCAGAGGAACTGATGTTTTCGCAGGAGAATCTGAACAAATGATGTTACGCGTGAATGTAACAATTGTTTAATCACGCATTTAAAACAAACACCTCTAATGTTTTTTATTGATTATTCTGCAAATAAATTCTGTGGGTTGGGTTTTGCTTTTTCCTTCTGCACATAGAAAGGCATGTGAACCGATAACGTTTTGGGAATTTTTTTCCCCTTAGATAAGCAGCTCATACAGTACACTGCGTTTCCACTCCTTGCATTCCTCGATGGGAACCCCGGCTCCGCCATTGAGAGCGGGAGCTCCGCAGCCGAAACTCCTTCCTCTGTTGACAAACCCCTGGAAGTGGACGAGTTCCTGGAGAGCAGCCTGGATCCCGAGCCCACCCAGAGCAAACTGGTGCGGCTGGAGCCGCTGACGGAGGCAGAGGCGAGCGAAGCCACGCTCTTCTATCTATGTGAACTTGCCCCGGCACCCATGGACACGGACATGCCGTTCTTGGATAACTAATGGAACGGGGACTCTGTATATAGTCATGAAGATGAACTATTTATTTAGAATATTGTTTGGTATATGAGTTTTTTGTAAATCACCGTTTTATGTAACCAGGTAACGTGGAATCTAAAATACCTTTCCTGTGTTACTTCCTACAAGCGATTGTTTAACGATGTGGTTAGACAAGCTGTTAGACACAGTTGGTGGTACCAAGTCAGACTGTTACTGTACTGCTGTCACATACTTGGTATCATAATACATATTGCTAAATATCCCAGGTAACTGAACACTTGTTAATAGTAAGCTTTGATTTATGATTTCTTATACTTCTGGTCTTACATATGATGACGTAACTAGTAGTGTGTGGTTAGGGAGCACTGACTTTCTGTATCTTGGGTTTTTTCTATTTTTTACAACACTTTGTTTTAACAAACACGAGGCTGTTCTGGGGTGGAGGGGACCAGGACCTGATGTAGGCTTTTTTTTTCCCTGCTTGAACTGGGAACAAAGTGCCTGTACCTTGCTAAATCTTGGTTCTGCCTTACTTTCACTTCAGCGGAAGTGCTCACACATAGCACAAACTGGGGAAAAGTTCTTTACAGCCGCCAGGCCCCTTGACTGCATGAGTACTTTTAACTTGGACCATCTACTCTGACAAAATAAATGTTGCTTAAGTGTGACGCTTGTTGAGACTTGTCTCTTGCTCCGTGTGCCAACTGGCTGTGGATTTAACAGCCTCTGTTTTTCATGCCCGAGTAGCAGTGCAACGAGGTCTGCTTCTACGCAGGTTTGTAGGAAAACAGTTTCGTTATCATCTCCCAGGTTTGTTTATAAGCCTCCAAAACAAGCAGCTAATGCGTCAAACTGGGTTTTCCTTCAGCACTTCGCAAAAGCGTTTTTTCTCCAAGCTGTGGCAGAGCCCTGTAGCTTTCCTTCCAGTGGAAGAGCACTACCCCTACTCAACAGCTGTGTTCCCATTGTTGCCTTTACCAAAGTCAACTTACTGTAGTTTTACTACACAGCTGAATGCCAGGGGGGTTACCACAACACTGGGCGACAGTGCCATTGACACACTTCACTTAACTAAATCATCTCACCCCGAGCTCCTGATTTAATATGAATGGTAAGTTAAACTGTAACTGAAGATAAAAGTTTTCTTCCCTCTCTGCCCCCAAAGCCGTGGGTAGGGAGCTTTGAGAAGCTTCCTCCAGGGAAGGGAGGAACTGGATTTTAGTAACTTCATACATGCAACAGGAAAAACACCTGGCACTTTTTTCCTTATTTTTTTTTAAAAGGAGGAGTCCAGCCACTTGTACAAGGAGCTGAATCCATAGAGGCAGCTGTCTGTCCATCATCCCAAGCCAGTGACTAGTTGTTATTTGTTACAGGACCCTGGAGCTGCTGCATTAAAACAGCCATTCAGGTGTTTCACCCGAACTCAACAAGCACAGGTGCGATACAATGCAGCAGCAGCAGCTGGTGAAGCACGCTTGTGTTTCCAGAGATGGATGCGAAGGGCGCAGAGGAGAACTGCCAGAAGACTCCACGGGGTGGGGAGTTACACGTGATCTCCCAAAGAGCCCGGAACTAACTGCCGTGCGGGCGTGCTTTGCGGCACTGTCAGCTGTTACTTCTCAGATGACAAGTGCTATAAAACATCCCAGGAACAGAGGATGAGAATACAATATAAAACCCGACACTATCCACGTCTGGCGGTAGTATGAGACATCAAAAGTCACTGGACGTCTTCATCCAAATTTATTTATTAATAAGGTAACAACATATTCCAAATTATTACAAGCCTGTACTAATCCTTCCATTACCATCTCAAGTTTGACTGACATGTCAGACTTCTGCCGTAAATGTCAGTGTTTAGGTGCAGAATTAAAATAAAAGCTTGGAGAATAATTAGCAACAGGAAGTAATGGCATAAACACCACGGTAACAGATCAATCAGCATGACATCTGCCGAAGGCTCTAGGGGCACTCCCAGTCAGGCTGCTCTAGTCTCAAGTTGTAGCAAGGAACAGAGGGAGAGAAATAACACAGCTTACATACTTCAATTACAAAGCAGCGAGCACAAAAGCATTTAAGATTTCGTAACTGCACAGGAACTATACAGTATTTTAATCAAACAGATTAATGTCTTACCTCATGCCTAGATTTAGACTTTGCAGGCTCGAGTCCATCTCTGGCAATGGACAACGAGCAAAGTACCTAAAACATTAAAAGATTTCAAAATTTAGAGCCCCAAATAGATTTAAGAAGCACTTTTGTCGAAGCCTCAGTTGATGCAAGCCTCCTCCAGTTACTGTAATTTCAGTGCTCCTTTTCCTCCGCTTCTTTTTTAACCACAATACTCAAAAAATGCCTCTAAAGGGCTTACACAGTTTTCACCGCTCGGCTCCTTGCAAACTCTGTGATTGTAGCTTAGCCAAGAAAGAAAGTGGCACACAAAACAGCAATAAATTACAGCACAGCTATCCCATTTAAACTACTTTAAAAAAAATAATAATACATAGATGCGCATTGTAAACAGGTGCCTTAAAAACATGCTTCTGAGCGTCCGATACCAGGATGTTTTTCCCCAGGGTGTCCGTCCCCCTGTCTGCAACGGGACACATCGGACCCAACGGCACCGAGGAGGGAGGACACCAGCTCCCCTGCAGCTTCAGGTGCAAGTTCTCCCCATTTAACATCTGTGCTAAAGGTATTGCTGCCCTCAGAACGGGAAGAGGTCAGGCTGCTAGCGCCAAAATGCTGCAAGACGTCCAGTAAGCTCCAACATGCACAATTTTGAGTCTAACAAATGCTCACTCAAGACCGACTTTGGAATCAAGGCAACAGGGATCATCAAAGGCAGCCCCCTTCTTTGCTCGCAAAGCCTGACCTAATACTGGTTTGTTACCCTAATTAACGCTTGCACCTTTTTTCCTACAACTATTTAATGCAACTGAGAGGGGAAAAAAAACTACCTCCAAAAGGTCTTGATCTTGCATCTAATGCTCCCGAAGCACTCAATCTAGGAGTAATCCTATGAAAACTGTCATTATAGCAATTGCCACTGAGCTCAGCTAGAAAAAGTCATTTAGTGAAATGACAAAAGACATGATTGAAGGTAATCATGCAGAATAAAGCAGGGTATACTACACGGAGAGCACGCGCACACACGTGCACACGCATTCACAACTGCACTATTATCTGGAATACTGTTTGCTTCGAAGACACGGTGAAACTAGCACAATCGCCCTAGAGAGCAGCACAGCTTAGTCGAAGTCACGGTTTGTAAGAACCAGCGGAGCAACCAGAGTCCACACGTACAGCACGATGCCAATCCAGCTGGAAGATATCTTCACCCAGACAGACGGCCATTTGCTGGTCATCATCTCGTAAGAAGAATCCGGACTGTGAGAGAAGGAGAAAAAAGATAGTTTGCAATTTTTGTTTCAGAATGACATACTAGTGTAGTAAGCCACTCTCCAACACTGTTTTCACAGTAGATCATTTTCACTTCAGCTCCACACCTCAAAGGACATCTCTGCCCTTCCTCCAGGCAGCTCACACCAATCCGTACAAGAACACCATTTGTAAGCTGGTGTCACAGGAAAGGGGGGAAAGCAACAGCAGCCCAAAAAATATGTAGTAAGAGAAGCTGCCAAGAAGCAGAAATAATTGTGAGGAATCTCTAAGCAAATCTGTGGAAAGGCAGGAAATGGATAGCATTTATAGATACAAACAATGCATTTTACCTGGCCGAAAGACAACACCTAGAAGAATTAATAATCTTGATGTCATATTGACCCAAGCAGGGCCAGAAATCAAATCCACAGCAGAACTATCTATCAAGAGTTACTTTTGAAGGAAACACCTTTTAGTGTTGCTATTTTGATACAAATTGTCCCCCAGCAAATTATTAGAGACCACAATTTATATTTTTTAATTCTGAAGAACATCTGCTCAAGCTGCTAAACATAGTAACAATTCACACACAGGAGGACTATTTTATCATGAGGTTTTTTTCAGGGAGCAGACCACCTCATTTTCTTCCACCAGACCCCATCACAGAATGGCTAAGAGGTTGGAAGGGACCTCTGGAGGTCATCTGGCCCAACCCCCCTACTCAAGCAGGGACACCTACAGCCAGCTAGCCAGGACTATGCCCAGACGGCTTTTGAACATCTCCAAGGATGGAGATGCCACAACCTCCCTGGGCAACCTGCGCAGTGCTCAGTCACCCTTTCAATAAAAAGGTGTTTCCTGATGTTCAGAGGGAACCTCCTGTGTTTCAGTTTGTGCCGATTGGCTCTAGTCCTGTCACTGGGCACCACTGAAAAGAGCCTGGCTCCGTCCTCTTTGCACCCTCCCTTCAGGTATTTATTTATATACATTGATGAGATCCCCCCTGAGCCTTCTCTTCTCCAGGCTGACCAGTCCCCGCTCTCTCAGCCTCTCCTCATACGACAGGTGCTCCAGCCCCTTCTTCATCTTTGTGGCCCTTCGCTGGATTCCGTCCAGTATGTCCATGTCTCTCTCGTACTGGGGAGCCCAGGACCGGACCCAGCACTCCAGGTGTGGTCACCAGTGCTGAGTAGAGGGGAAGGATCATCTCTCCTTCGACCTGCTGATATAACATGTCCTATCTCCTTTTCCCAGCTCTCTGTACCAGACATGGGCCTCTTTTTTACTTATTTTTAGTTGTTATAGAATT